ACTTTAAGCCGTTGGTTCCGGCCACATCTACATTGTTTACTACCTATCAATCCGACTTTGGCCTTCGGTGGGTCATTGCCCAATCTTGCTATTCAGTTCCATTCATATCTAGGTTTTGTGCATGCATTGGATGCCCCAGCAATGGAAACACTAATAGGATGATTATGATGATAATAATGATGCACATAGACAATTATAACTCGATATTAACATAAGTATTATATTAAATATTTTAGAGAAAAACAGTTCCTTATGACACAATTTCAAAATCCCATCAGATATAGTCGCAGGCAGAAACTAGTAAACAATAAATAAATATTGTGTCAATAGCAAAAATTGACCTTGTGCGTTGAGCAATCCCCTGCACTGTACAATCGTTCATGACGGAAAGGTCAAAACAAAGATAATTTTTGAGTGGAAGATAAAGCCGGTGGTTTGAGAGGTGTCTAAAACATGATTGCCATCCAAATCAACGGCGACATGGGTCCAAAAGATCAGGAAGTGGTTACACAATAAATTGTGAAACGCCCTGTCACTGACATGGTTACTCGACCAGGAAAGTCCAAAGACAGTTGTTCTCTTGCAATCGCTATGAAACTACCAAGAACGTTCTTTGTGCACTGTACTTTATCATATACACTATATTTATGTATACTGTGATGTATTATAGAGTTTTTTGTATATTTCTTAAGACGCTAGAATCAGTATTCCGAAGATTACCCCCTACAAACGAACAAACGTAGTTATAGTCATAATCTTATTACGTTTTTTCCTTTGTTCGCAATAAATTTAAAGTTTGTAATTTTGGTTAATGCCCGATCTTAAAAGCACAAATTCACATTACCATCTCTTAATATAAGTAGAGCATGTCTCACTAACTAGCTTGGAGTACTCAACCAGATGTTCAAAGGTCTTCCTTTGAGTCCATACGGTCATATTTTAAGCATTACACTTCATAACGCAATTTAAACTTTTAGAGTGCCGTTAGCCACCGTTACAAATCGAGGGTGTTTCATACAGTTAAAAGTTATCTATGGCTTTAATAAAACTGTAAAGTACTTGGAAACATGTAATAAAGAATGAAAAATGAACTCAAGAAATTTTGCTGTATGGGCCGAATTCATTCAGTCTTAATGGCGCATAATTTGCTAGAGTTTCTGAAAACTTCGTCAGTCCTGTTAGGTCCTGGTTAGATCAGTGGTAAGAGCAGTCGCCCGGATTCCGAAAGGTCATGGGTTCTAGTTCCATCTCAGAGTGCCAGGGACAAGGTGGACTTCTTAAGCATTTTTCATTAGGAATGTTTAATATTTTGTTTAAATATATCACGTTTTATTTCAAAATGTCAAAGCTCGCAAGGTTGCGGACACTAGGTGTCGCTGTAGTTGTGAACATAACCAACAGTAAGAGTTATAAGTATAGTCTTGTAGTAAATTTTTCGTTCACAATGATTATTATAAATATTTGAGTAAATGAAGAACTTAAATTAATACATTGTTATTTTATATAAGTTGTCATTTTCCACAAAGTTTCAACTGTTTATATCTGGGCTGGATCTGAGCCCTGTTTCACGAAAGGTAGGTAAAAATTTAGCAATTCATATCGGTAACCATGGTTACACTAATAAATTCATTTTATTTTCACGCTTGAGTTCTATAAAATTATAAAAGCTGTAGATAAGAAATTGTAAAAATATCGTATTTATAAATTGTTTTGTTACTCCGAAAAAAATATTTCGGGCATTCTCGAAATGCTAATAATTATTACTCTGCCTCTACTGTACAGGTAACCTTTACGGATATTATTAAAAAAAAACTATTTAAGAGTGATTCTAAACATTCCGAGTTTTTGTTCGTTAGTAAACAGAGAAGTTCATCTGGTTAGGTACTTTAATTTTTGAGGACTGCATTTTTATGATCAGTGATACGACAGCTATTGATTAATTCTTTGTTCAAATCAGCTTATTAAAACCATTTTTGAATCGTCCAAATTTTTTCCCTACATCCCATTATGCAGGTGTGTGCAAAAACATTAGTAAAATAGAGGTAGGGAAATTTCATTAATATTTATATTTCTTATAATTTACTTTATAGCGATGGAAAACAGTACCAAGCATGTCAATATCGCTATGACAGCCACGAAATTATGACTCCTAGGTGTTAAATCTATCTCGATAAGCTATCGGCCGATATCGACGCAATCAACAAAATATGATATCAATTGCTTTAATTAAATTATTATTGGAGTGTTTCGTAGTTATCGGGTAGAACGGCCTTGTGTCGAGGACTCTGGAATACTTTATTGGATAAAATTACAGTTTGGTTGTGATTTAAATATGCAACTTATGAATTTAGTTGAGAATTATCATTGATTATTGTGCCTATAAGACAATTTATTCGTCTATGACAACATCAAACTTGGATTACGACGACTACAATAAATTCTCGTTTCACATTTGACAGAACGAAAATGCTTTGATTTTTTATATTAAAATTTCAGTAAAGAAACCAAATTTCAGATATTATGTCAACTTCAATAGTTATGCGAATGATTCAGTGTAATTTAAGAGTCATCATAAAAAAGTGACGGAAACTTAATTTTTATCATAATCTATGTAGGTATATTAATATTATAAAGAGGTAAAGTTTCAAACTTTGTTTACTTGTTTGATTATAGGGAGGGCTAATTTTCGGAAATACTGATCCAATCATGAAAATTCTTTTATTGTATATGAAAGGAATGAAGCTACATCATATACGAGTAGCATAAGCTATGATTTGCACGGGCGTAGTCGCGGAAAGCAGCTGAAATCATAAAACTGACTCTCGTGTAAATAAAACCAACATGATCGAATAATTTCCACGTCAAAACGTTCCCGAAAATTCCAATGAAAGGATACACAGTGTTCAGCTATTCACGACATAAATCACAGGTAACCTTAATTACCAATAACCTCTATTTAGGTTAACCATCAAAAGCATGATAAGACGAATTTTCTAACGTTTAATAATTTATGATTTCCTCATCGTACAATACAGTGCGTTTTCAATAGATAAATTACTAAGCTGTTGTCTGGCTTTATTTGGGTCATGGTTTACCTTACAGAACAGTATTACTTTTAGATCTTATTTAAAAGAAAATTTGTTTGGAGACATTTCAACCTGCACCTTTGTTCGTACGGGCTTGCGAATGGTTTTAATAATTTAGCGGATTAAAAGATATCAATTTGTGTTGTATAGTTGTGACGGATGACTTTTTTTTTCTCACTTTATCATAAAAAATAGATGCAGTTTCTGAAGATTCTGAATAAAGATGGACTTATGTTTTGGATACTTGCTTCAGATTTTTGAAGAAATATACCCAAACATAAGGTCAACTACCTTTGCGTGGGATCTCGAAAATAAAAGAGCTAATAATTCTTTTTACTTTATAAGCACTAACGACTCATTGACATTTAAGTTTTCAGATTACCTGACACAAAATGCGTCACGCAACGTCAGCAAATATAAAATGTGACCCTCAATCTTGCATACTCGTCCGATAAATCTACCAGTGTATCGAGACTGCTAACGCATACTTGATTAGTTCAACATATTTTCCGACAGATTTGTAATGATTTTAAAATATTCAATTTATGCTCTTTCCAAAAATAAGCTATAACTGAAACGCAGAGCGTATTTATAAATCAGCTGTTCCAGTCCAGTATAACACCTGAACACGATATATTTTCAATAAAATCGAAGAGATTATTCCACGTGTAGTAAACTAATTTGTAGCGGCTTGCTGGCGTAATGGTCAGCCCGATAGCCTGCAATGCAGGTTAAGCTACTTTTGCATAAGCCGGTCAAAGGATGGGTGACTAATATTATATTTTCCTGAGCCCGTCTGCGCTTATATGAGCACGTTAAACTGGATTTACAATTCTCCTCTCACTAGTAAACTGATTGATGTTGATAAATTGAACTTCTAAAATCATATCCATCTTGGATATTAGTAAAGATAAAAAAACTCAGAGTTCAAACAATTTAAGTTAGTCCATCCTTTTCACTAGTTCATAATATGTGCCGCTGTGTCTAATATCGAATAAAACAGGACAATACCAAGGATAAAACAATATAATAAAACAGGGTATTTCATACGAAGTTTTTTATACTGTAGGTATAACATAAATTTTACTCTTTCAAAACCCAATTGGTGCTCGACATGTAACTATTATTATTAAGAATAGTATTTATATATTGTTTTTGACACACCGAGAAAATAAGCTTATTATTTAAAATTCTACAATGCAAGAAACGAAAATATGTAAATATAGCTTTGTGCACGGATATATGATTAATAGACGAAGGTGACATAGTTAATGAGACTTAATGATTCTTAACCTAAAAAAGCACGTGAAAATCCTCTAACAGGTTTCTATTGAAGAAAAAAGTGTGCCAGCTATTAAATTCAACACATCGATGACGTTATCTAATGGAGTCTAAATAGATCGTGGACAAACACTCGCAAGTTTTTCTATTAGGATAAAGGTCAGATTTCACACAGAAACTTTTCCCATGGGAAGCTTCAAGGTTATAGTAAATAATAATAACATTATCTAATACTGTGAATCTTTGGAGGTTTTGGAAATGACACCCCAAAAGGGGTTAAAAGGGATAAAAACTTTTGTATATTAAAGACTTTATTTTTCAACTAAAAACAACGAAAATTTATGTTTGATTAGTTTAAAATAAAACGCCAATTTTGAATTGTCATTTAAAATTCTTTGTAATCAAAATTGTAATTGGAGATTCTATATGGAATATTATAAGTAATGGGAATAAGTTTTTATTTGTATTTCATGTCAAATGTCTTCATTAGTGTCTTTACAGTTAATTGTTTTGTGTGGTGTGGAGATATTTTGCTTTTAGAGGGAACTTAGTTAACTTTTTACTTTGCTCTGGCGGTAAAATGTGGGCAAAACCAAATCAGTTATAAGAGATGAATTCTGTAGATACACTCAACTAAATTTACAGTTTGCTGTATTAAATATCTTGGATTAAATTCCTTATCAGAATCATATAACAATAAAAACCACTTCTTATTATATTTGGGAAAATAAATTTATTATTATTATTTCAGATTATACAAGTATTGGTGTCGTCATTGTTTATGAATTCACATCAAGATTTCAGTTTTTTTAGTAAGCCAAAAAATGTTTGTAAGTTTTATAAAAAGAATATTTTTGCTGTTCAATTCAAGATGAATTAACACAAAAACAAGTTTGGTCATAATTTCCCCTGTGTTTAAATAAAAAACATACGATCAAAGTTACAATTCTGAATAAAATTTTCTTTTCTTTCCAGATTGGAATTGTTCTTCACCAATCAACGGCACTAATGAAGCAATCCACTGGCAGGATATTGAACTAGCAGCCACTCCAAACGCCTTCGAAGTGCAATAAAACAACACAACCACACTAATTTAAACCAAAGATTCAGTACAAGCGAAAACGAACTGTATTATCATAGCAAAAAGAAAGGAACCCCAAATCGCAACTACGTGTTCCAATGGCTATTCTGGGAATTGGAAAGTCAATACAAGCGATATGTCAATTAGAGCTGATTCACAATTGTAACCGAGTAAATTATTCTAAGAACAAAAAACTTCACGACGCCGTCGTATTTCAAACTTGACTCAACAACGCAACTTATTTTCATTTGAAAGAATTTTATTATTAATTGCGAATGATATAGAAAGAGAATAAAATCAAATCCAATGTATGGCACAGTCAAATACGCGAACAAATTAATCGTCACCCCATCAAGGGTTTCGTATGGCGACTCAAAGTCATAACTTCCACTGTTCACTGCCCAACTTTGTTGCTTTACCTTCGCATCTTCTTATACTGGTATTTTTAGTGTTGCATACAAACGTAGTATTCGCTTCGGTAGAATTGAATGACTCTTTAAGTTCAGAGTTCAACTACACAAACGTTAACTCAACGACAAATTGGACATTCTTTGACTACAACACCACAAACACTCACAAACTTCATATCAAACACTCCAAGTATTCGACGCCTGTCACTATTCTTCTTTCAATAATATTTCTAATCGTAATAGTTGGAACTATTATTGGCAACATTCTTGTTTGCGTTGCCGTTTGTCTTGTAAGAAAGCTGAGAAGGCCGAGTAACTATCTTATAGTATCATTGGCAGTGAGCGATCTTTGCGTAGCTATAATAGTTATGCCAATAGCGATGCTCTATGATCTGTTGGGATCGTGGCCTTTTGGACCTGTTATATGTGATTTCTGGGTATCAAGTGACGTTCTTTCTTGTGCTGCCAGTATTTTAAACCTTTGCATGATTTCGGTTGATCGATATTACGCAATTACTAAGCCCTTGGAGTATGGTGTCAAGAGAACTCCTAAAAGAATGTTTTTCTGTGTCTTCATAGTATGGATGAGTGCTGCTTTTATATCTCTGCCTCCAGTTTTAATTTTGGGAAACGAGAAGACTGAAACTTCATGTTCTGTATCCCAAAATAAGGTATATCAAATATATGCTACACTTGGATCATTTTACATACCATTGACTGTGATGATGGTCGTATATTACAAGATATTTAGCGCGGCTAGGAAGATTGTGAAAGATGAGAAACGCGCTCAATCACACTTGGAAACACATTGCTATCTTGAGATCAACGTGAAAAATGGTGGTGCAGCGGAAGCAAGACTTCTGGGTACCCAGCCCACACAACCACCACGAGGTTCAACTGCTAGCACCAATACAACTGTAAGAATTAAATATATTATATATTTTCGTCTGAATGTTCTGAAATTAATGCTCAGTTATAATCCTGACAAACTTGTATACAAAAAAATCTTACACAAGCAAATATGTCATGAAAATATTTATCAAATTATTGACGAAAGTTTATGTCCCAAAATTTGACTTAATTTCTTAAAAGTTTGCATTGCGAATTATGAATGAAGACATTATCTTGTCTTGTTTCAAAAATCATGGAAAGAATGAACGCGTACGCATGCGGCTTGCTGTGTGATATGCAAATTTAACAATACCTATATTTATTTGTTTTCAGAGACGATTTCAGGTTATGAACTTTTTAAAATTAAGCTTCACATATATAATAAAGTAATTGTTTAAAATTCTAGATAAACTTAAAAATTAACCGTGTATACTTAGCAAAAATATTAAATTAAAATCCATTTGAATCTCTTTCATACTGCCCATCCCATATATTCATATAGAAAGCTTGGGCTGTTATGCAACTTTATGTAAAAAATCTGAAATTTATAACTTTAATTGTTTCTTGTTCTGTTTGTTTCAGATAAGTGTAGAAAAAACAGAAAGTACTCTCGGAAGGTGCTTCAGCGGGCAGCGTAAATCTAACGAGTCGCAATGCCCAATGCTGTCACAAAAAACTCCAACCAAACCTATTCATACAATCAACCGTTCCACTTCACAAGTCAGTCAGACTCCAGATAATAATAAAATGCTCCAAGTCAAAGAGAGGCGGAGACAATCATCTGAAAATAGTAACAAGTTAACAGCGAACAGGATTCGTTCATCCCTTTCGAATTTTGCTCAAAAAAGTCACATTGCCAAAGACTTGCTCCAGTCATCACATTCTCCGCACCAGAAGAAGCTACGATTCCAGCTAGCTAAAGAAAGGAAAGCTTCAACAACACTCGGTATCATCATGTCAGCGTTTGTTGTGTGCTGGCTGCCTTTCTTTGTTCTCGCATTAGTGAGGCCTTTTGTAGAAGAAGGCACTATACCTGATGCTGTCAGCGCCCTCTTTCTTTGGCTAGGTTACGTAAACAGTTTGCTTAACCCCATAATTTACGCGACCCTAAACAGGGACTTTAGAAAACCCTTTCAAGAAATTCTTTTCTTTAGGTGCTCTAATCTAAATCATATGATGCGCGAGGAATTCTATCATAGTCAGTATGGTGACCCTGATCAGCATTACTGTGTAAATAACACTACTAAAGTGCATAACTATGATGAAGGTGTGGAAATAGTGTCTGCTGTCGACCGGGAGGAGACAAGAGCATCTGAAAGTTTTCTATGATTGTCAATGCTTCAGGTCGAAACAAGAGACCGAGATTCTGTGATCTAATTAAGACTTTATTACATTAAAATATTACCACGGTCTAACTGTGTTGGTTTTCTTACGTTGTTCAAACTGTTTTTTATGTAACTTTTTATAGCGATAAGATATTTTGAACCGACTAGTCGTTACTAATTTGTAAATTATTATTCCTCAAAGGTTTTAGTCATATTGTTTTTACGAAAATATTTTATGTGGTATGAGTTTGTGGTGATCATTGGGATATGTATGACTTATTTGGAACACAAGAAGGTTTTCCTTTGTGCAAATATAAGCTTCCTAACTAAAAATAAAAAAGTATATCAAGGTTACCACAAAATAGATTTTTTTTTTCAACATATTTTATAAAAAAAAAATCTGCACGATCTCAAAATGCAGAGTAATATTTTTTATTTGAATATTTTATAATCTGTTAATTATTTGAGCAGTTGGTCAATTTTTCTGTGTCAGGACCAATGGAAAAACTGAGTTATATTTAATTTCAAGAAAACTATTTCAATTTTTTCATACATATGCCATTGTAAAAGAAAATAAAATAGTTCATAAGAATGGGTGAATTTTAATCGCCAAGAAGTGTTGTTTTGGAATGACCAAAGAGATATCTAACTTTAATAAGAAAAATACATTAATTTATAGGCTGTTGTGAATTTAGTACCTATAGTATTAATAACGTAATAAGTTATTATGTGAAAGTTGTAAATTTTCACCTTTCAAATTGAGGTCTATAAGTATTTTTAATCCATGTGATAGTAGATATAGTAAATAATTATGTTTTCCTTCCAATGATTTCATTTCACCTTACATTATATAGAATATTTGAAATTTAACATATGTTGTAATAATGCTGTATATATATCGGTATTTTGTATAAAATCACAAATATTCTTCATACTCGTCAAGAATTGAGGAGCGTACACCCATATTGCTAAATTCATATGAAGTGGTACCTACCGTTGGCACTGCCAGATAGCATAACATAGTGCATAATAATAATTGTACAAATTAACTTTGTTATAATGTATTAAAATATATTTTGCAGTTTCATACCGATATTCTATTCTTGTACAACCAATTTCTGCTAAATACATCAACTTTTTATACCTACATTACACATCACTCCTGCATATCGCTTATTTGATATATTTTTCGAATTTATAAGTAATAGTTTTTATATCGGCTGTTAATATTTATAATTTTATTTTTTTAACTTACTCGGGCAGCTCTTTTTTCGCCCGGACATGTGCTATGTTACAGTTTTTGCTATGGATGCTTGTGAAATCTACCAACGAGATTCTTAAACTCACATATAATTTTAAAAGTTATTTTTTATTATTAGTTTACGTTTCAAAGTTTATGTCTATACATGAAACTTACGGTTGTAAATTGGTGTATTTTATAAACATACACAGTTAGTTCTAACTAATATGGCTCACGCTGATTCTTTTTTTTTTTATACAAGGAAAATACCTGGCAAGCAACAAGGTTAATTGGGATTCACCTTTGTGGGTCTATCATCGCTCAATTCACTCTCGGAGACTTAAATACTAAAAATCCCACAATGTACTTGAATCATTCAGATTTGTCGCATTCCGTGGCCTTCTACGCAGATACTATACTATCGTATTATCGACGACTCACATTAGTTACTTCTTGACATTAGTCACTTGAACTCATATCTAAATAATACAGCATAAGCTTCACATTAATTATATATCACCTCTATGGACCAGTATTTGCAAATAAATGATTTGATTTGATTAGCAAAAGAAGTAATTACTCGTGTCTTAATAATTACTCATTTAAGTAGTTACTTAAGGAAATGCTTAATGAGTTTATAATTTTATTTCATAATCAAGCGAGTAACATTGTTTGTTTAAATAAGCGAGCGAGTAATCCTTGTTACTCACGATTATCTTAGAACAGTAACAATAGTAAATAAGTAGTAGAAAAGTAACGGAATCGACGACTATTATTTAACTGGGTATTCATTTGACAGTTTTTATTTAATTTCAATTCTTGTTTATTGTTTGATAATATTTGCTCAAGTAATTACTTATACTCGAGTAAATACTTCTTGTTGACTATAACACGAGTTATATTGGAGTACCATAGTAGTCATCTCAATAACACATTTAACTCAGTCCGTTGCATCGCTTAATATCAGTGAAAGCGAGCACGTAATATACGTATGACAAAGTACTTTTAGCTATGCCATTTTAATAAAAGGATATTTATTTCAAATAAGATAAAAGGATCGCGAACCTTCTTAATTTAAAGATTTAGAGAAGAAGTAGTTTATAATGTTTAAACTACTTCTTTTAGTTATTTTGTTATTCTTTATTCAATCAGATAACAATTAAACTCTTATATTATAATGTAACTATTTTGACAAACAATATTTCTTTAAGTTATATGTGTTTAATTATACTTTAAATTCATACTATTGTAAATATTATCAGTCGACCTATAAAGATTTGTCATAAGATTGTAATTATGATAGCAGAAAAACTATTTATAATTAATTGTAATATCTATGTCAGTGTTGTAAATATTGTTATGAATGCATTAGAAAGTATTATGAGTATAAATAATTAATTAGTATATTAAGAAAATAGTAGGTGAAAATTGCCGACACCGTGTGGGGAAACTACGCTTTGAAAAAAAAAATATAATACTTATTTGACAATTGATGTTTTATTGAAGTACCGAAAAAAAAAGTTTCGTTGTTGTAGTTTCTTTCCATTGTAGTTGAATGTAATTGTGCGTGGTCATTATTAGTTTTCAAACAACAATTTCTGCTGCTATACTTCATGTACAGAAACGAGTAAGTGTAACACTGAGAAAAAGTGTAAATAACACATACAAAATTTTAGAAAATAAATAAAAGAACGAGATTTTCTTGTTTCTTTTCTATAATAGTGCACAAATAAATTGAATTTTTAACCTGGTAAACTATATTGTCAACTCTTTAAGATAATATAAGACTTATTATATTATTGTATTAGAGTTATTTAATTATATGTGACTACGGAATAACATTAAAACAAACCCAAAACTTTTAGTTTACTCATTTTATTATGGCGCCAATAAAATGAGAGAAGAAAATATTGAGATTAAAAGTAGAAAGATAATAGTCATTTTATTAACGAATAAATAAATTTTTCATTAGATATTTTATTTAAATTCAAGAAAAATGATAATTTTCCTTTTCAACTTGTTACTATTATTGACTTCAATAGGCATACAGTCACATGTTAATGGAAGAGCGGGATATCCCAATACAAGCAAAACAATTTGCTTGAAAGGAGTCTTCCAAAAAACTTATATGGAAATGTTAGTATCTAGATGATTTAATCATATTTTTTTTCAGTGTTACATTTTACGATACTCTATATTTCTTATATGTTGGAATTTTATATCTATATCACAAAAAAATCTATTCATAATGAAACTTACGTGTTTCTGAAGGAATAGTGACATCCTGTGAGCTGTTGTCGCTCAGTAGTTTTCTAAAGAATATATTGTTAATTATTTGACATTCATGATGTAGTGAATTTTCGTCTATTAGGTATTATGTAATTATTATAATACATAATTATATATATGGCCTATTACGTATGATTTATTTTAAATTGTCTATGGTGGATGTAACTGAGGTGTTTTTAAATAGTTGATATAATAGAAATTGTTTTTCTATCAGTGTATATTACCATATATTACTTTAACCAGATTTATCAAAGTTGCGCATTAAGATTGACACATTTTTTTAATAGAGACTATTTTTTGTCAAATTCTAGTTCCTTATATTTGTGCGCATTTAACACTACGTCAGATCATATAAAACTGTGAAAAATCTTTACTTGATATTGATAACTAGATTTAACACCTTAATAAAATATAGATAGAATACAAAATCGATTGCGTATAATGGACGTATGTATTATAGTAACCAGAAATCCTATTGTGTGTACAGTCGACATTATGATAGATTACTACCAAAAAGCAAACTTGCTACAATCGGTTTTTAATCTCAGCTGTGTCCTACCAATCTCGATTGTATCCACTTTAGACAAACTCCACATAAATTTACCCAATGTATAGTTTTTTAATTCTTTCACGACAACCGATTTGATTATTTCATGTTACCTAAAGAAAATATTATTATTATAGATATATAGGAGAATAAATAAATTATTTGTACAGTACATTATATGTAAGTTCTGCAAAGTATCGGTTTTCGAAAGTTTTTTGAGTACAAGAAGTTTGTAATGTCAGCAAAATTATAAAACAGTTTACTCACTTTAAATGTTTATTATTAAGAAACTTTGAAGTATTACTTAATAATAAAGTTATGAAGGTTTTCTTTCATCTGGAGATCTCGTAATAGTCCATTATTTATTTAAAATTTGTTTTATTGTATGCGAGATGTGACATTGTAAAAATATGTCATAATACGTCTAAAGCAGTTTTCGTGCCATATTCACTTAACGATTTCCTATAATTGAAGAGAACCTGATATTTCATAAAATACTTGTCACATAATTGTATAAATTATTAAATTTAAGTCGATCAGTATTTTGCCGGTGTTCCTTATAATATATACGTCGACTGTTTATGTAATGCTACCTTTAATATCTAGATATTATTTTCAGATGTAGATTCTTGAAATAATATCTAAATTTTACCGTTAAAAATTGTACTAGCGCTTGATTTTCATTGACTGATCATCAAAACGAATTAGAAAAAATTCAAGCCGAACTCCATAATAAAATTAAAAGTAATACAGAATAACTACAACATTATGATATACAATAAATAATTATTTGAAATTATTGCAATTTGTAAATCTTTTAAATAGTAATTCAATAATAGCATCAGTAATGAAAAGAGAGAAATATAATAGCTTATATAACATAACAAATAATATAATAGCTTATATAACATAACAAAAAATCGAAGACTAAAACCGAATATATACGTTCATCTTAATATTAATAAAAGATATAAATATTTATTTTAATAAATAATCAAAATATGTTGTTTGAAATCGACATAATATCTAAATTGGCACAATAAAAAGTTCAGTTTATATATTGTTAGTTAATACTAAATGATATACTACTACCATAAAATAAAAATATACCTATTGAAAACTGATAAAATGATATCTAAATGTCAAATAAAAAACTTATTTCCACAGAAAAATAAAACATAAATCACAAGTATCAGGGTACATGTCCTTATGCTTAGTCAATGAAAACCAGGCAACTAAACTTTAATAAAACTCTTCTTTGATATGTAGCGAACAAACTGAATACTTTTTGGCAATTGTATTTCTTTTTCTTGTGTAGGGAGTCCTAAAAGAGACGAAATAAAAATTAGATTTCGAAAAAGTTGTTTTATTGTCCTAAGAAGAAGTCGAGAGAAGAAAGTCGACGTAGGCATTGAAGTAACAACTTTATGATATAAAATTATGAACGCTCAATTAAAAGTTCTAGAAGCTTTATGAGTGAATAAATTGGTTTTACTTTTTATAACTACTCAAAAGTCATTATTGACATTGATTTGAGATGTACTTGAATAAATAAATATATTGGCGATGGTACTGCCATCAGCAAATATTTTGATTTGACATAAAAAAGGTTCAAAAGAAACGTTGCTAATTATATAATTTACCTGGAGTTTTTCAAACAAGTTTATCAATATAGATAGGTATCTATTTTGTTAAAAACGTTGTCTAAAAACGTATCCTTCGAATGCTGTTGTGTCATTCATAACGCAAACTAAACATTGTAACTGGTAAAGGAAAAAATAATAATTTTGATAAAATCCTCATATAAGAGCTGTTAGGTAATTGCTTCGCTTGGCTGTGCATGTTGATTACAACTTTGTAGGAGATTTTATTTTAAAAATCACTGATATATTTAATTATTTCACTTCAAGAATGAAAATATCATAGAATTGTAAAGAATTATATTACTACAAGAAATCACGAACTAAACGCTGTAATGACAACATTCAAGTTATCAAAATATGTCAAATTCCACAATCAGTTTTGACTCTATCTTTAATGTATTTAAAGTTTTAAAATCAAGTGGCGAAATTTTACAGATTTTAACCGATTTAAAAAAGAGGAGGATCTTAATTCTTTTCAAATCGATTGCATCTTTTTCTATTTGTTACCTCATAACTTTTTACTGGGTACACCGATTTTGATGATTCTTTATTTATTTGAAATGTGTTGCTTGCCGTGTGTTCCCATTTGGACCAGATCTGGTAATGGTATCTATGAGAAAACCATATAAGTCTTAAATTTGCATTAAGTAAACATGATGTAAATAACATCACGCATACATATTTTGATATCACTAGAACGCATGAAATAAAAACTTAAAAAAAAAATTGAACGGCTTCAAATTAAAAAAAGTGAAAAATAATACTTATGTTAAAAATGCTTAGGTTTTTTAAAAACATTGAAGCCGGGCGATTGATATTTAA